CGATTGGACTATATTGGCCTCGTCCTGAGCCCACTTCACGATCAGGCTGTAGTCAACCTTGAGACGGTCCTCTAAGTATTGGAGAGGCGTGAGCTGCTCCTCCTTGAAGAGGTCTGCGGCGTCTTCCTNTGCGGTCCGTAAAGCCGTCGCTTTCCAAGTCGAGATCGCGGAAGCGCTTCCGTTGGAGGACGAACGAAGCCGCCCCCGTCGCACCATCGACCTTCACGTGCCAACAACGTCCAGGCCCGGCTTCTCCCCACGGCTGAACATACCCTTTGGGAGTCTTCCCTAGCATCCGCTGCAGCCGCAAGCCGTTGGACATGTTTGCATTGCTGTGCTGTGTTTTCACGTGGATCCCAAGTCCTTGCTCGTTCACGAAGGTCATGGGACAGTAAGGACACGGTATGCGCCGCTCCGGGGCCGGAGGTGAAGTTGATACCGGACACATGCTCTGTGACACCACGGCGAGTCCGCTCAATCTGCACGGCGCGGTAGGAGCAGGGCGGAATTGAGGTGCGGTGATTCAACGAGCTGTGGACCTGAAATTACGTGGATGTCGATGGCAAAATATATCTATCTATGCAGATGGGGCAAGGGATGATTACATGACCGTCTCTCATGTGTTTGTATCACGGTGCAGCAAAAAACAAATCACAAAATACGGTTGGGACGGCGCTCGTGTACGCTTTCTTTTTCGCCATTGTGTCTACTGTACCGTCCTTGCCTTCCTCAAGAACTTGAGGCAAACGGAGAATGTTTGAAAAGTTAAGCACATACATGTACGCCATGCTGAAAGTCAGTCGTTTACACCAACCTGTGACAGAGTAGTTTTTCTCTCGTCTTTTTCATTTCATCACCACTGCGTTTTTTGTTCGCTAAACAACAGCAGCAGCAGTAGCACTCCTGCTGTATTTACACTACATACNAACGGAGAATGTTTGAAAAGTTAAGCACATACATGTACGCCATGCTGAAAGTCAGTCGTTTACACCAACCTGTGACAGAGTAGTTTTTCTCTCGTCTTTTTCATTTCATCACCACTGCGTTTTTTGTTCGCTAAACAACAGCAGCAGCAGTAGCACTCCTGCTGTATTTACACTACATACAGCTGCTGGACCGCCGTACGACTGCTGTATATATGTACATCATCACAGCAACAGAGTTCGTCAGATGACTGAACTCACCGGTTTTCCGCTGCCACGAGCGAACGCGTTGATGATGTTGCCACCTAGAACACCTTGGGCAGCTCGATCCCTGGCTTGCTTCCCCCGATCTGCGACCTTTCTCTTCCCGGCAGCCGCAGCAGTAGCAGCCGGTGGGTGCGAAGATGGTGCACCTCGCGCGCCGCCCGCATCTTGTGGCGTTAAAAACCACGGACGGGTGCTGCTGGTAATACCCTGACCCTGCGTCAATCTGCGTGATCCACTCTTCTTCGTTGAAGACACCCGTCTGCTTCAGCCCCCATGCGTTCTCGATTGCGTCCCATCGCTCCTTCGCAACGGAGTTGCCCGCCTTCACATGTGCCTTTATCGTCTCGAAGTGACGGTCAAGAATCAGTCCTCGTTGTTTCAACTCCGAGAGTTTGCCAAGGTCCTTCAACAACCCATGGGATAAGGGGTTGGACAGGCACATGATCCCCCTGCACGGCAGGCAACTCGTGGCACGCTGCACGACGTTGCGTGGTAAATTAAAAAAACTCGCTGGCACAGGGGCACGATGTGTATGTACAGCAGACCCCCACCTCAAAAACAAATCTAAAAAGGGATAGTCTAGGTAGGTACCAACTACCAAACCTGGGAACGCCCCCCCCCCCCCCTCCTCCTCCATCTGTGTATGTTCTTCTCTCGCCACCGCCGCGTCATGTAGTATGTCCTTATCTGTAGCACCAGTCGTACACCTCACTGGAGGTTCTTATTCTTAACAGCAGGTCCGATCTGAGCACGTGTTCGTACGGGCAAATTCTTAAAAATTGGATTTTTTTAGGCTCAAATTCTCAACGCCCGAACTCCGGCTGGCGGTCCCCGCTGGAAGCCAAGGCCCGAGCATGACTTTGCGTCGGAAACCCACTGCTCTCGGCAACACCAACATCTGCGGATGACTGCGTTGTTGAAGCCACGTCACCTGCTGGTGAATCCACGCCATCGGCAGCAGCCCTCGCGGCCGCCGCAATAGCGCCCGCCACAACCTGAGACGGAGGAAATGAACCCCCTCCCGTCTCCAACGCCGACTCGACCTGACCGCCAGTAGATCCTTCACTGCGGACGACACCAAGGCGCTCTTCCGTCTCCGGCGACTTGTGCTCGGATGACATGGCCCAAATTTGATGCAACCGAGAGCCGCCAAGATTCAAACCTCCCGTTCCAACCGATATGTGAATGCCCCCAGCAGCACGCGCCAAGTAGATCTCCTCCAAAGAAATAGATCTCCTCCGAAATACCTCTTGGCTGCAGCAGCCTCCCTCGTGCTTCCTTGGGGCAGACCAACAATAAGTACTCCCAAGTCTACTCTTCTGGTCAGGTTTCAGACACTTCATGCTGACTCCATGCTGCTGCACTCTGATTGGCCAACAGATATTTCATCTTCCGCCCCTCACAAAACTCAGATTTCAACGCCTCTGTCTCTGCAATCTTCTGCATTCTTAGGTGCGGGCCGGTTCTGTAGTCATCTGTAAAAAAACGCCACCAGAAAAAAATGACAAGTGGTACTGCTGTACAAACTCTGGCCATACGCCACACGTTCTCTCCGCCTGTTGCCCCCCCGTTAGTCATCTGTAAGAAAACGCCACCAGAAAAAATGACAAGTGGTGCTGCTGTACAAACTTTGGTCATACGCCACATGTTCTCTCTGCCTGTTGCCCCCCCCTAGTCATCTGTAAGAAAACGCCACCAGAAAAAATGACAAGTGGTACTGCTGTACAAACGTTGGTCATACGCCACATGTTCTCTCTGCCTGTTGCCCCCCCCTAGTCATCTGTAAGAAAACGCCACCAGAAAAAATGACAAGTGGTACTGCTGTACAAACGTTGGTCATACGCCACACGCTCTCTCTTCGGAGGACCTGATAGACTTGCCCCTGTGGCGGCCCTCGCCGTCGGGGGAGATGGATCAGAGGTGTGTAGCGCCGACGATGCGCCAGAGATGCCTGGAGCATTCCGCGCCCGCTCGAACCTTCGCCGGCAGCAGCGCCGAGATGGCCCTGCTCTCTGTATCTGGCTGGGGTACCAGCTACCCGGCGACCGTTAGCCCGTCCCTTTGTGCCGTCTGCCATGGTGTCTTGGTTGTGGAGGTGTTGACGGCGAAGGTGGTGCGTGTGGGGGGGGGAGTCGTGCTTGTTGCTTGTTGGCACCAGACAAGCGGCGAGATTAATTTGGAAAATTTGGAAGACCAGCTGATTCACGTATGTATAAAATGAGCCGTTCGGTTCCAAATATTTGGCGCCAAAAATTTGGAAATTTTGGAACAAAAAATTGGAATGTATAAGACGCGCATTTCTGAGCATCTCTCCTTTGTTGGGCAGTGTGATTTTCGCAGGAAGAACTACTGAAGTCAACTCCACTCCGATGTGGTGTGTGGTGTGACGATGGGAGTCTTACTTGCTTTTGTCCTATGGGGTCCAGCTGATTCCCTTCCTCATCATGGTGATGATGTTGCGTTCCGCAAGAAATACACGAGTCATACCACACACATATTTTAAGGGTCCGGTGGGGTATCGGAAGTGTCGCAGAACTCACAAGACCATCCGGTAGAATTTTTGCCCAGAAGTCTTCCACCACTTCAAATCACGAGCATGCCGTGAACAAATCAACCGAGAAAACGTTCACGAGATGAAAAAAAGATCGATCCCACTTAACATGTGTTTCAGACACTTGTCCCGGTATCTTGCGTACCCACGATTCAGCACCTCACAAAACTTAGACTATCCATTTGTCCCGGTATCTTGTTTTTCGTCCTATTTATCATGGCGACAGTCCCCCATTTTTCGTGGTGAAACGTGTACTACACTTTTTAGCGTACGTAGAGTTCTTCACTTTTCAGTTTTTTTTTCGTACAACTACAGTCTTGTCCTGCCCTCCCCGGCCTGCTCCCCGGCAGGGGCCGAAATCAACCTTGTGAGTCCCTCGCGGGCGAACCAGGCCACAACAGATAGTAGGTGGGTGGTGTCCTAAGGTGCAACTCACCGCCGCGCTGGCTCAGCGTGGCGGTGAGGATGCACAGACGGTGGTAGTGGCGAGAGGTGTATGTGGACCTTGTCCCCGCGGCAGCAATGCAAAGCGGCAAACTGCACCTGGTAACCACCGTCGCGGAAAACGTGGCCAACGAAGCTGGAGGAGCAGAGAGATTCGTAAAAACCACGCGAGTAAGCGCCGTTCGCGGGAGAAGGGAGATAACCGCGGGCGACGCGGGGGG